ACCGTGTAGTCGTATACGGTAAGGATCATCAATTCCAGGCTGACTTGGTCGATATGACCGCATACTCAAAAGAGAACGATAATATTAAATTTATTCTTACAGTTATCGATGTGTTCAGCAAGTACTCATGGACACGTGCATTGAAAAATAAGACGGGTCCGGAGGTGACTAAAGCTTTCGAATCTATCTTGAAAGAAGGACGCGTACCGATAAAGATGCAAACAGATAAGGGGACAGAGTTTTTCAATAAACATTTTCAACTACTGATGAAAAAATATGGCATACATCATTTGCCACAGCAACCGATTTAAAAGCGTGTGTAGTCGAGAGGTTTAATAGAACTCTAAAAGGACGGATGTGGAAGTTTTTTAACGGCTGTAAACTCCAAACGTTACTGCGATATACTGCAAGACCTGACAGAGGGTTATAATTGTAGTTATCACAAATCCATCAAAATGCGCCCCCTGGACGTTCATAAAGAAAATGAGACGATAGTGTTTAATAATTTATACGGTAAAATACGTAAAGAGACACCCGTCTTTAAATACTCTGTAGGGGACGTTGTTAGAGTCTCTAAAGTCCGAGGCATATTTACTAAGGGGTATGAGCAGAATTATACGGAGGAATACTTCACCATAACCGCATGCATTCCACGTGCCCCTCCCGTATACCGGTTACAAGACTTAGATGGTGAAATCATCGATGGATGTTTTTATGAGGAAGAACTACAGAAAATTTTGTTAGTGATGATAAAACATTTAAGATGAGAAGATTTTGCATAAACAAAAACGTGGAAAAGTCACGTACGTCCTAGTCAAATGGTGGGGTTGGCCTCCAAATTTAACAGTTGGATAGCTGAAAAAGAGGTGATGGATCTACAGGGTCCGTTAAAGCCATAGTGAATTCATGACAGACGCCATTAAATAATTACCATGGCTGAGGAAGGATTCTACGTCACGCTTCCGTGCAACGCTTCGATGAACATCTACCCTGATAACAAAAATATCTAATTACAGAACTAGATTGGCTAGAAGTATAAATTTAAAAGGTCTGTGGGAGGTGGCATTGGTTGAATTTGAATATCCATTGACGTGGTATACATTTAATGAGGATGACTCTGTTTTTATTATTGTCTGTGATCAACGTCTACTACAGAATAACCACGAACTGAGCGATGTAAGAGGCGATGCGTTTCAGAATGCTCTAAAATTATCAACGAGTCGGGACGTTAAATGCGGGTATTTTGAGGATGTACCCATTTTGCTCAGGATATAAATGTCACTCTCCCCAGAGGGTACGTCTCGCCTACGACCGTATAAAGAATAAGGTATTTCTCAAAAGCGCCCCAGAGACTTCGTTGACATTTTATGGCAAACTAGCGATCATCCTAGGTTTAAAAACCAGGGGTTTCTATAGAAACTGTAAACAGTTCGGCATGAACATCAAGACACGCACATCACATATGCGCCATTCCAGCTGATATAAATGCCGGATTCTACACGCTATATGTATACACGGACATAATCGACTATCAAGCGGTTGGGGATGCCTATGTACCTTTATTAGCAACTGTATATAATAGATGGTGAGACTAACAAAACAGTCAGTGTCAGATACGACAAAGCTCATTACGTACGTGTTAATAAGAGCTGCATCTCAGAGATCTCTGTTGATGTAAAAGACGATTTAAACCAGGACGTACGTTTCACCTACGGAAAGGTTGTTACCAAAACTACATTTTAGACC